GAAGCTCCATGTTTGCTATTTGTCTTCAATCCACAGCCGATCCTACATCACAGGATATCAATCCTGAAATGAAACAATTATTGGAGAAATTTGAAGCCTTGTTCCAAAAGCTGACGCACCTCCCTCCTACAAGAGAAGTAGATCATCACATCAATTTAAAAGAAGGAACCGAGCCCATTAATGTGAGACCATATAGGTATGCATATTTTCAAAAAGTTGAAATTGAAAAACAAGTTCATGACATGTTAAAATTGGGGCTTATAAGATCTAGTACTAGTCATTTTTCATCGTTTGTTTTGTTGGTAAAAAAGAAAGATGGTTCCTAGCGTTTTTGCACTTACTATAGAGAACTTAATGCGGTAACCATCAAAGATAGATTTCCAATTCCTATAGTTGATGACATGCTTGTCAGGGGTGAGCGGTTTCGGGTACCCTCCATTTTTCGGGGGAACCAGAACCGGAAACGCACAGTGCAGGTTCCCAAAAAAAGGAACCGGAACCGAAATCGCACAGTGCAGGTTCTTCAATTCAAGGAACCGGAACCTAAAATGCAGGTTCCGATTCCTTTCCGGGGTACCCTATAAAAAATCAATTACCCCCTATTAGTTTAAAAAATGACAAAAATACCTTAAAAGTTTACAAATACACCCCTAACAAATTTTGATTATTCATTCATTTGTGTCCAATGTAACTCATAACCTGTAATCTCTAAGCAACACTTGAATTCAATCAATTTATCACAATTCACATACAATTCGTCAATCAAAACCAAAACACAAACAATTATTCATCACAATTAATGTTATAATTGGCCAATTGGGTATTTATAATATACTAAATATAATTTAGTAAATTTAATATTATAAATTAGTAATGTTATAATTAATTAAGTGATCATACTACAAGTAAATGTAATGTATAATTAATTAGTAATATACTATTATATTATGTAATATTATAATTAATTAAATTGTTAATCATTTATTAAGTATTGTAATATTGTTTATAATAGAATTATAATTAATTAGTAATCATACCATAAATTATAATGGAATGTTATAATTAATAAAATTCTAATCATTTAATTAAGTATTGTGTAAATTAGTAAATTAGTATGTTTAATAAATGTCATAATCATAAGTAATCATTATTATGTAATGTTATATTAATATATGATCATACAATAATAGTATATGTAATATTATAATGAATTAAGTAATCATACTATAAATCTATAATTTAATATTATAATTAATTAATTTCAAATCATTTAATTAATATATTAATGTTTATAATGGAATGTTATAATTGGTTAAGTAATCATATTATAAATATATAAGGTAATGTTATAATTAATTAAATTTTTAATCGTTTAATTAAGTAATGAAATAATATAGTAAATTACTAATATTTATAATGTAATGTTATAAATTCATAACTAATTATGTAATCATTTAACTATGTAATAATATAATTAAGTAAGTGATTAAATATAATATAATATAAATGTTATAATTTAATTAAGTAATTATTTAACTATAATGTAATGTTTAATTAATGTTATAATGAATATTTATTGGGTAATGTTATAATTAATTATTTCTAATAATTAATTAAGTATTGTGCCATGTTATGTAGTAAATTAGTAATTAAATGTTAAAACATAATATCATAACTCATAATCGTAAGTAATCATTAATTATGTAATGTTATAATTAATTATGTGATCGTACTATAATGTAAGTTATAGTGAACTAAGTAATTAGATTATAGATCTTTAATGTTATATTATAATTAATAAAATTTAATTATTAATTAAGTAATGTAATAAATAATAATGTAGTAAATTACTAATGTTTATAATATGATGTTATAAATTTATAACTAATTAAGTAATCATTTAATTATGTAATACTATAATTATTAAGTGATCATAATATAATGTAATATAATAATGTTATAATTAATTAAGTAATTATTTAACTATAATGTAATATTTAATTAATTAAATTTTTAATCTTAATTAAGTAATCCTTTGTTATAATGTAATGTTTAATATAATGTCGTAATCAATTAAATAATCATCTAATTATGTAATCAATTAATCATACTATAATGAAATAGTGAAATGTTACAATGAATAAATAATCATACTATAAGTCTTAATAATTTATAATTAATTTGTATAATAGAATATTATAATTAATTAAGTAATCATTTAATTAAATGTAATGTTACAATTAATTACATCATGTACTTAAATTTATAATGTAATGTTGTAATAATTAAATTCTAATATTAATTAAGTATTATGCAATGTTATGGTAAATTAGTAATACTAATATTTATAATATAATGTCATAATCAATTGAGTAATCATTTAAATGTAATGTTATAATTAATTATATATCATACTATAATGTAATGTTATAGTGAATTAACTATTAAGTAATCATACTATAATTTTTAATGTAATATTATAATAATTAAATTTTTAATCATTTAATTAGTTTATGCTAATGTTTATAATAAAATGTTATAATTGACTAAGTAATTATACTATAAATCTATAATGTAATGCTATAATTAAAAATTTCTAATTATTTAATTAAGTAATATACTAATGTTATAACTTATAAGTCATAATTAAGTAGTAAATCACTTAATGTAATGCTATAATTAATTATACTATAAATCAATTGAGTAATATTATAAAATTATAATTAATTAAGTAATCATTTAACTATAATGTAATGTTATAATTGATTAAGTATGATATTTAACTAGTAATTAAATTTATTAATGTTTATCAATTTATCATATATAATTAATTAATTACTAATTTATTATAGATATACTTAGAACTTGATAATTGAAGTAAATAACTAAATATATTATTACTCAATCAAATATACTATTTTGTTTAAAAATAATTCTTTTAATAACATTAAAAATGTAAAACACTTTTAATTGGATCATAATTCTAATTATTCACTTAATTAATCAAAACTTTAATATTAATAGATTATAATATATTAAAGCTTTTAATATGGTGTAATTTATATGTAATAAGTATAATTATATTCATATATTTATTTAATTAGGTTATTCTAAAAATTTAACTTTTTCTATTTTAAAATTTTTTATATGTAAAATAATAGAAACCCTTCATTATTCACATTTCACAAATATTTCATTGTAGTCCAGGTTCCAAAACAGGTTTCAAAACAAGTTTCAAAACAGGTTCCAAACAGGTTCCAAAACAGGTTCCAAACAGATTCCAAAAATCGGTTCCAAACCGGGTACCCTCTACAGGTTCCAAACAGGGTACCTTTTTTACAGGTTTCGATTCCGGTTCCGGTTCTGGTTCCTCTACACACAAGAACCGGAACCGAAACCGAAACGAAACCGCACAATATCTGTTCTAAAAAATTGGAACCGGAACCTACTCGCACAGTACCGGTTTCGGGTAGGTTCCAGTTCCAGTTCCAGTTTCGGGTAGGTTCCGGTTCCGGTTTCGGTTCTATCCCCAGATTCCGGTTCTACCGGCTACCCGTGCTCACCCATTGCTTGATGAGCTCCATGGAGCTACTTATTTCACTAAACTTGACTTATGGGCGGGATACCACCAGGTACGAGTGCATCCCACAAACATTCATAAAACTGTCGTTCGTACTCATAATGGTCATTATGAATATTTAGTTATGCCCTTTGGTCTTTGTAATGCTCCATCTACCTTTCAAGCAATTATGAATTCAATATTTCACCCTTACCTCTGCAAATTTATACTAGTTTTCTTTGATAACATTTTAATTTATGGCCCCAATCGGACCATGCATCTTGAACATGTTCAAAAAGCTTTTGAAATATTAAGGCAACATCAATTTTTTGTCAAATTCAGCAAATGTGCCTTCAGTCTACAAGAATTAGAATATTTAGGGCATATTGTAACTCCTCAAAGAGTTAAGGTGGATCAATGAAAAATTAAAACTATGCTGAATTGGCCTAGGCTTACTAATGTCTCTGAGTTGTGTGGATTTTTAAGACTTACAGGTTATTACCGGAAATTTGTCCACAACTATGGCATCATAGCATGTCCTCTCACCAACCTCCTAAAAAAGGGACATTTTGGATGGCCAAATGAAGCAGAAAATGCTTTCCAGGAACTCAAAAAGGCCATGACTACTACACCAATACTTGCAATACCAAATTTCAATGAAACATTTATCATTGAATCGATGCTGCAGGGGATGGCATAGGGGCAGTTTTGACTCAACAAGGAAGGCCTATTGCATTCATAAGTTAGGCCTTGGGCACCACCAAACGCTCATGGTCTGTTTATGCAAAAGAAATGTTAGCAATCATTCACGCAATTCAGACATGGAGACCATATTTGTTGGGCCGAAAATTTTACATACAAACTGATCAACGCAGCTTCAAGTACTTGTTAGAGCAACGCATAGCAACACCTAAGCAACAAAAGTGGGTGACTAAACTACTTGGCTATGATTATGAGATCAAATATAAGATAGGCTGAGAGAACAATGCAGCTGATGTACTATCAAGGGTGCTGGATAGTCCTAGTCTTGATGCCTTGTTTGTGTCTCAAACTCAATTATGGGATACAATCAAAGCCGAAGCTGGTATTAGAGGATGGATCATCACAGCGCCACGTCAACGAAGAAAAGGCATAACACCACGTCAACGAAGAAAAGGCTGGCATGGTTAACTGAATTCTGTTTCTCTATTTTATTTGTTATTTGTCGTCTCTGTAATGAGCTGTACATAAAGTCTTTAATGAGTTGTACATAAAGGATAGTATTGTCATTGTATGGGATAAGTTTGTTAGGATATTTTTTGTATATATCTGTATCATTGGCATCATTCAATAAACCAGATATCAGAGGAAATTTCTCTCAGCTGTTTCGCGTTTCCTTTCTTTCCTTTATTTCATCTCTGTTTCGCTTTCCTTTGTTTCATGGTATCAGAGCAGTCGATCAATGGCCAACGCTCATAAAGAAAATGATTCCAAATCTTCCAATGATACAAACTCCGAAGAAGATGATTCCAAATCTTCCAATGATACAATCTCCAAAAACAAGTACCTCAATTTTTCTAACCCTTTCAACCCATTCCGAATTGAGACCGGCGATAACCCAGCTGCTACTCTTGTTTCTGAACTCTTGACTGCTGATAATTATGTCAGTTGGTCTCGTGCGATTTCTCGAGCTTTTCGCGCGAAGAACAAATTGGCATTTATCAATGGTACATTGCCTAAACCCACTGATCTCTCAGACCCTCTTTTTGAAGCTTGGGAAAGGTGCAATGACTTGGTTGTTTCGTGGCTTCAGAATTCTGTGAGTCCATCTGTCAAATCTAGTCTTGCTTTAGTTGATGATTCAAGAGTGTTATGGCTAGAACTTAGGGATTGTTTTACCCATCAAAATGGCCCTCGAAGTTTTCAACTCAAACATGACTTAGCCAGTTTATCTCAAAACCAAGATAATGTCAATACCTATTTCGGCCATCTCAAAACCTTGTGGGATGAACTTGCTATCTATGACCCTTTTCCCGATTGTGAATGTGGAAAATTAAAAATCCTCCATAACTGATATGACGGAGACTGTGTCATTCAATTCCTTATGGGGTTGTCTGATTCATTCTCAAACACCAGAGATCAAATAATGCTACTTGACCCTCTCCCACCTCTTAACCGTGTGTTTTCCATGATCCAACAACAAGAACGACAACATTTGATGACTCCTTCTACCAATTCCCCTAACCTTATGGAAATGATGGCCAGACCAACTTTTAACTCTAGCAAATATTCCTCCAAGTCTACTCCCCAGAAAACTAATCGCCCATACTGCTCTGACTGCAAGATTCCTAGCCATTCTCTTGAAAACTGTTTTAAGGTTGGAAATGCCCATCCACCATAATGCACTCATTGTAATATGCCTGGCCACATTGCTGAGAGATGTTATAAATTACATGGTTACCCACCTGGCCACAAACTCCATGGGACTTAGCATCATGGACAATGATTGGAATGGGTGAAGTTAGAGGCGTTTTGTATCACGTCCTCAGGTCTCGGGTGTCACCATCTGCTCTAGTTAATGCACTACCTCGCTTTCATCACTCAACTCATTTCCTTCTGCTTCCGCTACTCACACTACTTCATTGTGTGATTTATGGCATTATTGTTTAGGCCACATTTCTCTTTCCAGATTAGCTTTGATCACTGATCCCATTGTAACACACAATCAAACATCTCATAATCAAATACCATGTTCAATTTGTCCTTTGGCTAAGCAGCGGCGTGTTTCTTTCTCCACTTCTACACATTTTGCTTTAAATGATTTTGATCTTGTCCACTATGATATATGGGGTCCCAACTCCGTTGTTGTAGTAGATGGATCACGTTTCTTTCTTACATTTGTCGATGACCACTCTTGGACAACATGGGTTTATATGCTTAAAAATAAATCTGATACCAGATCTTGCCTTATGGCCTTTTGCAGTTTAATTGAAACTCAATTCCAAACCAAAATCAAAACCATTAGAAGTGACAATGGAACCGAATTCCACATGAAAGATTTTTTTCAAGCTAAAGGCATTATCCACCAAAGGAGTTGTGTAGAAACACCCCAACAAAATGGAAGAGTTGAGAGAAAGCATCAACATATAATGAATATTGCCCAAGCCTTAATGTTTCAATCCCACTTTCCACCCCAATATTGGGTTGAGTATGTTCTCACAGCAATCTACCTTATTAACCGTACCTTTACCCCTCTTCTTCATAACAAAACACCCTATGAATACCTCTTCCACACTCCTCCCCAATACAAACACTTGAGAGTGTTTAGTTGCCTTAACTATGCCTCTACAAACTGATCAAATTTTTTTATCCCAAGATGTTCATTTTCATGAATCAATTTTTCCCTTCCATTCTATCATTTCACCTTCTGTTCCACCTTCCAGCTCTATCACACATCCTTTCAATTCTTCACTGCCCCATTCTATCTCTATTCCTACTCCACCACAATCTAGTCCTTCACCCCACTCCATTACTCCCTCGCCTGCACTTACCCTTCCAGATAACCAGTCTCCACCTCCCACAATTTTTGCTCCCAGTTCTCCCCCTTCTACTTCCTCCTCACCATAGACTTCCATTTCTCCATCACCATTACCTCCTGCTATTTTACATCCCCCTCCTTCTTCAGTTTCACCTATTCCTCTTCGCAGGACAACTAGAACCAAGCGTGCTCCTGAGTACCTACTGGATTACCATTGCCATCAGACTACTCTAACTCCCTCTATCCCGAAGTTGGACAAGCTGCTATGTTCACCATCAGGTACAGCTTCACCTCTACACAACACTATTTCTTACCAGCATTTTTCTCCTACTTATAAAGCTTTTTCAACCACTATTTCCACCCACATTGAACCAAAAACATATAAGCAAGCTCTTAAAGACCCCGCCTGATGTCAGGCCATGGACACTGAATTAGCAACCTTGGAGGCGAATTAGACTTGGCAACTTACAGATTTGCCTCCTGTAAAAGTTCTCATTGATTACAAATATGTTTATAAAATTAAGTATAACTCTGATGGGAGTGTTCAACGACTCAAAGCTAAACTGGTGGCTCGAGGTTTCACCCAACTTGAGGGCGTCGACTATCACGAAACTTTTTCTCCTATGGCTAAGTTAGTTACCGTGCGGTGTCTCTTAGCTATTGCATCAATTAAAGGTTGGCATTTACATCAATTTGATGTAAATAATGTGTTCTTGCATGGGAACTTGAATGAAGATATTTCTATGCATAAACCACCCGGCCACACAAAAAGGTCACCCACTCAAGTCTGTAAATTGCTCAAAAGCTTGTATGGTCTCAAACAAGTTTCAAGGCAATGGTATTCCAAACTTTCTAATGTTCTTTTTGCTGCAGGTTTCTCTCAATCCAAGGCTGACTATAGCCTTTTCACCCGTGACCTTAATAGCACATTTGTTGTTATCCTTGTTTATGTCGACGATATATTGGTTCCAAACAGTGACATTGCTGCTGTGCCCAAGTTGAAGTCTCTTTTTCACAAGCATTTTCAGATCAAGGATCTTGGACCATTACGCTACTTTCCTGTCATTGAGGTTGCGAGATCATCAAGCGGCATTCATCTCTGCCAGAGGAAGTACACACTAGATATTCTTGCAGATTCTGACACCTTAGGTAGCACCCCTGCTAAGGTTCCAATGCAGCAAAACCTCAATCTTACTTAGGCAACTGGCACTCCATTATCTGATCCAAGTGTTTATCGACGTCTTATTGGTAGGCTCTTATACCTTACAGTCTCTCGGCCTGATATTTGCTATAGTGTCTAGAATTTGAGCCAATTCATGGAAAATCCTACTAATGCTCATTTACATGCAGCCGACAAAGTTCTTCGATACCTTAAGGGTGCACCAAATCAGGGACTTATGTTCTCTAGTTCTTCCTCTTTACATCTTGAGGCTTACTACGATTCCGATTGGGCCTCTTGCCCTGATAACAGAAGTTCTGTTAGTGGCTACTACATTTTCCTTGGATCTTCCTTGATCTCTTGGAAATCCAAGAAACAATCAGTGGTATCTAAGTCCTCGGCAGAGGCCGAATACCGTTCAATAGTTGTCACCTGCACTGAATTAACCTGGCTGAGATACATTCTATCTGCACTTCATGTCCACCATCCTTAGCCCGTTTTGCTACACTGTGACAACCAAGCCACTATCCATATTGCGGCAAATCTTGTCTTCCATGAACGGACTAAACATATTGAGCTCGACTGTCATATAATTCGAGACCAGATTCAGGCCGAAAACATATGTACTCGTTATGTCTCAAGCTTCAATCAACTTGTTGACATCATGACAAAGGCTTTATCCTTTTCGGTTCTCAGCTTTTATTTATCCAAGATGGGAGTCGTAAATTTTTACACTCCATCTTGCAGGGGGGTATTAGGGGATGAATCATCACAGCACCACGTCAACAAAGAAAAGGCACAACACCACGTCAACAAAGAAAAGGTTGGAATGGTTAATTGAATTCGTCTCTATAATGAGTTGTACATAAAGGATAGTATTGTCATTGTATGGGATAAGTATGTTAGGATATTTTTTGTATATATATGTATCATTGGCATCATTCAATAAACTAGATATCAGAGGAAATTTCTCTCTGCTGTTTCGTGTTTCCTTTCTTTCCTTTGTTTCATCTCTGTTTCGTTTTCCTTTGTTTCAGCTAGTGACAATCCTTACAATAAAAAAAAAAAAAAAAAAAAAATCAGCAAACAAGCAACCGAAAACCCAGGCGTTCCTTACAGCTGGCACAACGGGTTGGTTTGTTACAAAAATCGAGTGGTGATACCTCCTCATTCCAACAACTCTTGCGAGAATTCCATGATTCTCCAATGGGTGGGCATTTGGATGTATTAAGAACCTACAAAAGGCTAGCACAACAATTCTATTGGCCATCCATGCACCAAGCAGTGAAGAATTATGTTGCCTCTTGTGAAGTGTGCCAACGAACTAAAAATTAGACTTTGTCACCCGCCGGACTTCTACAGCCATTTCCAATTCCTTGTCAAGTTTGGGATGATGTCACTATGGACTTCATTGAAGGCCCTCCACCTTCAAATGGTAAAAATTCAACTTTTTGGCTGACAAGTTGAGCAAATCAGCACATTTTTTGGCTCTCTCCCATCCGTATACAGCAAAAGTGGTGGTTGAAAAATTCATTGAAGGAGTGGTGAAGCTTCATGGCATGCCTCAGTCCATCATAAGTGATCAAGACCTGGTGTTCATTAGTCGTTTTTGGCAGGAGTTCTTCAAAATGTTGAGCACACAATTGAAGATGAGCTCCGCCTACCATCCGCAAATAGATGGACAAACGGAAGTGGTCAACCATTGTATTGAACAATATCTTTGGTGCTTTGCTTACCAACAACCCCGTAAGTGGCATTCTTTCCTTCCATGGGCTGAGTTTTGGTACAATACTACCTATCATGCATCTACAGGAATGACTTCGTTCCAAGCTCTATAAGGAAGACCCCCACTAATAATTTCACATAACCATGAAGGTTATTGTCCAGTAAATGAAGTCGACCAAAGCTTAGCTTCTCGAGATGCCTTGTTACGGCAGCTCAAGGAAAATTTACATGCCGTGAACAATCGAATGAAGCAACGAGCAGATTCCAAACGCCGAGACAATGAATATCAAGTGGGGGACTTTGTGTTTCAGAAGCTTCATCCCTACCGCCAGCAATCTGTGTTTAAAAGAGCCTATCAAAAGCTTGCAAGCAGGTTTTATGGGCCATATCAGATTGAAGAAAAAATTGGAAAGGTGGCCTACCAGCTCAAGCTACCACAAGGTTCTCACATTCACCCGGTCTTTCACGTGTCCCTTCTGAAGAAAAAATTGGGTGACACAATTGCTGCTAGTATTGAGTAACCTCCAACGGCTGAAGATGGTGATTTGATTATGGAATCGAAGGCAATATTAGACACTCGTTGGGTCAAGAAAGGGTCCAAATTTGTCGAAGAAAGCTTGATCAAATGGAAAAGCCTTCTAATAGATGATGCTACGTGGGAAAACAAACAAGAAATGAAAGACAAGTTCTTAAATATGAACCTTGAGGACAAGGTTCCAGCCAAAGGAGGGGGTATTGATAAGCCAAGAAGATCCCAAAGAGTGCCCATGAAGAACCCAAAGTATTTTGACTAAGAGTTGTCATGCATGGAAGATTCTTGTTGCCAAAGACTTGGTCTAAGTTGTTGATCATGTCCACAAGTTTGCTTGCTTAAGAATAGGTCAAGTAGTTATTATTTAATTTTGAATAATTTTCGGCTGCTTTGTTGTCATTACCTGTTAGTGTCCTATTTCTTAGAGATGTGATCTAAGAATTAGGAATAGTTGTTAATTTCCTTTTGTATTTAAACTATTTTATAGTCATCATAGCTTCGATTGGGACCTATCAGTTCTGGAGGCCCAGAGGGAGGCTTCCATTCAGAGTTAGGTTGCCGATTTTGATATCAAATACACGATTATCCAAGCAACGCCATTGACATGGGTCCGAGTTGGCCCAATTTAAACTTCTCGGATTTCCTAGGCTGGCTTTGAGGGCTTGTATCACTAAGACGCTGGGCTACTATTCTGAGAGTGAACTGAGTGAGTGAATAAAAAGAGACAAAGGGAGAGGAGCGAAATACCCAGATAGCTTTCCTCTATTTTCTCGGGAAAATTTGAAGTAGGTGCGAAACATCCAAAACTTTGAAAACAGCTTATTAATAGTTAGAAAGTCCAAAATTATTTCAACTATTCTTTAACAAAATTTGGTTACTTTGTTCTTGTAATCTCCAAACTCAAAGTTGCAAGGTTTTGAATTCAAATGTCTTATTTACGTACAGTAAATCATATATAAATAAAAAATATATCCACTATTCTTAGATAAAAAATTTTGATTGTTTCGCCAATTTGGTCAGTTTGGAATCCCCTGAAAGACAGCAAATTGTTTTCATGCAGACAATCGAGAGCTCTTCGGATAACTTCTTGGCAATAGCTTATATTTTAATATCCAATCGTATCAAAACCATCCACTGTTCAATTCGACTAAATTAAGGAAAGTCTCCAAGATTTGAAGGGAATTTTCACAACTTCAATGAAGGCTTTTTTTCTCTTTTTCTTTTTTCAGAAAAAAAAAATGTTTCGGAAAAAATATGACCTGTACCTATAAGCACTCCTGAAAGCGCTTTTATGACTTGTAAGATATTCATTACATTTGTGGCAACTATAACCTTTTAGTTCAATTACCTTGCCGCTACAAAATCCACTCCGAAAGTTTAAACTTATATATATCCAAGCATTAATTATTTAACTCCCCCTGGAGTTTCGATTTACGATGTAGATCCTACCGTTTCATATACTGCTATACAACCCCCCTAAAGCAAACAGCAGTTAGTGAAGATTAAACAGCTAAAGGGCAAAATTGACTTTTCATATCCCTAACATTCATTTTTCCAAAACCAACGCCATTGTAATTGTCGTAGCTTTATAATTCATCAGTTAATTCTTAAACTAAAACAATAAAAGTGTTTGGTAAACTACTTTTTAAAACTGATAAATTTTAAAGTTGATTATAAAAGTTTTCTTTTCCTATGTAGCTTTTAAATTCAAATTAATTGTAAAGTGTTTTTAAATGTGTACAACAACAAATATACCCCTTCATAATATATTAAAGTACATAATAATCTTACCCAAAAAAAAATAAACTAGTTAAAAAACCAATTATCTTCATAATTTTTCTTTAAAAAATAAAAAAGATGAACAAGTATTGGGGTAGCCACACAATTGCCACCTAGGTCGTGCATTCAACAACACCGTTAATATCATCGGGATCAACATCGATTGATCTACACGACTCTGATGGTTATGTCAGATACCATAATTACATTTAAATAGAGACAGTTAACGAATATAGTTTTGGCCTTACAGTCAAATATTGTGTCAGATGCCGACAGAACTACTAGGGTCGTGTAGATTGCCCAATGCCAATCCTAGCAATACCGAGGTGTCATCGAACCTGAGACCCAAGTGGCTGTATATAAAATTATTTAATACTTTTTAAAATATTTATCAAAATAGCTTTTATACTGTAATTATAAAAGAAGTTAGGAAAAAAATTACTTTTTGGTCATTATACATGGTGGAGTAGAAAATTGAGGTGTCAGCTTGCTGCCCCACTTGAGCTCGGAAGTCATTTGCCCTTTCATAAAAAGCTGTCTGCGTTTGTTATACTTTTCTCACCTTATATTATTCTTTAAAATATATATATATATATCGTTTTAATATTTTTTAAAATTCAATTCTATTTTATTCAACTCAAAACATTTAACAATTATCTTTCATAATAAAAATTTATAAATTAACAAAAACACATTCACCTACCCAAGCCACTATCACCCGCCAGTAGCCACCGCCATCGTCGTCACCGGAATAACACACGACCAGCTGGATTTGACCGGTCATGCGCCAGAGATTTGGTCATTGACAATGACCAGATTTTGGTCGTTAACGACGGCTAGTTTCTAGCTGAAAAAGGCAAGATTGACACACAATCGGTCAAATCCATCCTATCGTGTGCCATTCCAGCAACTAACAGCCACCGTCCGGTAGTGGTGTCCGTCTACCGAAAGTCGATTGGATAGGTGGGGATATTTTCCTTAATTTATAAACTTTTATTGTTGGGAATGTTTAGTTAAATTAACAAATATAGAAAGCTAAAAAATAATTTAAATATTTTCTATAATCATATCATAAAATATATTTAGAATAGGATTTTACAAATGTTGTTAAAAAAAGTGTACCAAATGAAAATCTTATATGAGAAAGGGCGGCCAGTGGATTGTTGGCGTGTGTTAGTAATAGAAGTTAAGAGAGAGTTTTTGGGTACCTAAGATCGAATTTTGGTGAATTGGTGTTAGCGATGGAACTTATCTGGGCCTTGGCTCACCCATAAGAATTTATAAAGCCTTAACTCTCGACATTCGACATGTTGTTAACCGCCAAAATCACCTCTAAATAATTTTAAGGTCTATCTGACTTATCGTTTGGTTTATTGTTTTTATCCATATTCTCAATCCTATTTTTTAAATATTGTTTGGCACGTTATTCTCAAAATATTAATCTATTTTTTTAATTACGTTGAGACCCTATAAGTTCATTAATTTCATTAAATACCCCTTAGAAAAAAAAAGTTTAAAAACTAACAAAAATACCCCCATCTACCAATACCTGCCAGATTTTGACAACCACCGCCGATGGTAGCCGGAATCTATCACAATAGTCACACAACCACCGGAAATAGCCGGTAATGGCTAGATCTGCCGTCAACGATCGTCAAAGAAATGGACGTCGTTGACTGTCAACGACCGCCAAATCTTGGCCGTCGTTGACAGACAATGACGGCCATATCTTTGGCCGTCGTTTTAGCCTTTTTCGGCCGTCGCAGCCACAGCAGTTCGTAGATCTGACCTTTTCCGACCAGATCCACCACGGATTTGGCCGGAAAAGGCCAGATCCGTTCGTAGATTTGGCTTTTTCCGGCCAGATCCGTGGTGGATCTGGTCGGAAAAGGTCATAACGACGCGTTACGACACAGATCCGACCGGTCTGTGTCGTAACGAAATTTTCTGGCTAGATTCCGCTAGTGGTGGCCGGAATCTGGCACTGCAGGTGGTGAGGGTGTTTTTGTTATTTTATATATTAGGGTCTTTAATTAAATTAGTAAACTTAAAGGCTTTTTCATAAATTTTTAAAATTTACCTCGTAATACTCTCCTATCCAACAACCAAATATTATCTCTAAAATCTTATCCAAAATAATAAATCAAATGTATTCTAAGTTATCTGAAAATTATTTGAGATGTGAATAAATTGGTCCGTACACTATACTAATATAAAACAAAATAAAAACCCCACCCACGTTCACTCTAAATGAGTAATGCTATATTTACACCACTCATTACACCATTTTCATTACACCATAATGTGGCATATCCCACATCCACATAAATTTTTAATTATTTTAAATTTTTAATATTATAATAAAATAATTATTAGTAAAATAGTGATGGTGTAATGAAAATGATGTAATAAGTGATGTAAATGTAGCATTACTCCACCGATTTATTGGTGTCAGTTAACTGAGTTAAGATAAATTATAAATTAATATTATTTCATGTAAGTGCCTTTTTAAACCATTTCAAATCTTCACGCTTACAGCAGCCAGCCCCTCTTTTCATCTTCAAAACCCTAAAATTTGCCCAAGCTAAAATCCGACACTTTATGGTATCTCCAATTCCTTTCAACTATATTTCCCTCTATTCAATTGGGTATTCTCTCTAATTTTAAGGTTGGTTTGGTTTTTTAATTTTTTTTTTTTTTTTGGCCTTTTTATTTCTGTCTGGTTGCTGAGAAAAAAATTTCAAAAAGTGGAGATTTTTAAGCTTATGGGTTTTGTAATTTGGGCGATGAGAATACTGGGAGTAGAAAGATCAGTTTTTTTAATTTTTTAGTTCCCGTTTGGTAGCTGAGAAAGTGAAGGAAAGTTGGAGGATGCAAAAGGGAAACGGCATTTTGTGCTGAACCTTAGCTGCGGTTTGATCTGGGTCTTATTCAATATTGGAATATGGCTTTTCTTATTTAAAATTCTTTTTTTTTTTTTTTCGTAATTCCCTGTTTTATTTTTCCAAATTATTAATAAAAGAGCCTATATGTATGTATATGTATGTATAAGTTTCAATTATTTGATCTAATAGTTCACTTTCTATGCAGCTAATTCGCTTACTCTAGTTAACCCAACAATATTTTTGAGCCAAATTTTCATCGGAGGTAATTCTTTATTTACATTTTTAGGTTTTCAATTCGGTATACGCAAACTAAAATTTTCAGTTTTTTTATTTATCTCTTTTAAGGCATCTATTATTGTTTGTCATTGGCCCTTTGTTGGAAGTTTATACTCATAATAGCTTGATTAAGACTAAACTTAGAATAACAATTCATTGTTACAATTTTGTACTAATAACTAGTCTCGTGGTCAGGAGGTAAATGATGGATAGAAATTGGATTCGACTGCCAAATAGGCTTTGCAAGGAATATATTGATGGTATTAAGTCTTTTATGGATGTAGCAAAGAAATGTGTTGACAAGAATAATCAAGTCCGATGTCCATGTGTAAAATGTAAAAATGTGTTTTTCAAACCCTTGGATGTGGTTGAAAACCACTTGTATAAGCCCGGCATATCAGTAAGCTATCAAAGGTGGGTTTACCATGGAGAAAAACATGAGTTGGGTTCGACTAGCAGCATAAATCATGTTCATAAGGAACCACAAGTCCTTACGGGTAGGAGTGTTGATGACAAAGAACGACATGATCCATGTGCTTCTTCATCCCGTGAGAGATCTAAACCACAATCTTCCAATCAAGGGGATGAAAGAATTTCACTCATGGAAGGAGATAATTTCAATACCATTGATGGATGGACTAGCCCTGTAGTACAGAATAATTATGTAAGAGTTGTGATCAGTTTCTTTAAAAAATTTCGTTAATGACTTCTAATTTGAAATTATTTTGATTAGTGTATATATGTATTTGTAGGAAACGTTATGCACAATGCAGTCAAGTTCTGAGATGTCTCAGGCGGCTTTTGGTAAACGGTCACGCTATGCTTTAGAATTTGGAGCATGTGTAAAACCTTCTCATTGTGAGGGGGAGGCATCTCATGAGGCGGCTTTGCGAGCTAAGATAAAGAAACAACGTACTAAGGTAGAGTCACAGTGTATACGGATAAAGTCTCCCCAAGCACAGATAGAATCTAACCGAGCATGGATAGAGTCTAATGGAGCACAGATGGAGTCTATTGGAGCACTCCTACAGTCTAATCGAACACAGATAGATTCTATTGGAGCAAAAATAGAGGATTTGAAGGGTAAAATGATTTACATGAAATCTCAACTGGATTCATTTGTTGGTAGGTTTATGTCACAGCAGAGTAGATCTAGTTTTCAGTTACCATAGTAGTTTGTGTTAGTTTGAATATTTGTATAATTTGCAAAACTTGATCTTATATGATGGGTTGATAATATCTTTTATTGTCGTAAATATATTTATTTTCATTATATATAATATGATATGTGAATCGAAGACTTGGCCTTGCAGATTGTTTCCATTGAAAAACAAATTTGTTAATCTTGGAATTGAATCTCCCTGAGAAAGTCTGGAACAGAACCTGATGAATAGACCCAGCTTGCAAAAGACTTTTGCTAGACTTTGCAAATGCTTGACATCTTTTCAACTTTCAGGTTTTTCACGAGATGAGAATGAATTTTAACGACGTTAATCCTTGAAATAAATCGGAGGATGTGGTTGAGAACTGTATATAAGAAATAGTAGACTTATTATAGAGGATCATAACCTTCAGTTAGGGTGGACTTGTATGTCATTTACATTCAAGAAAAAAAAAGGTTGGATTTCTATATGTAGAACCTAAGAGTCAACATTGGGACTTTTTGTATGATAACCTCAAGCATCAACTATTTGGGTTTTCTGATGATAGCCCAAGCATCAACCATTTGGTTTGAAGTCTGGATTTTAGCTCAAAATCTTGATGGAGCCTCAAAACAAAGTGTTGTGCCTCCTTCACAAAAATGGACATCAATAATAGTTTTCCTTACTATAGAACACTCTTCTTATATTGTTCTATAAAATATGTGAATAACTCGTTGAGCACTTGGCTCTCACACTCCAAAACCTTCATCAAAATTACCCTACTCATTTATCAATTCGAAGATAGTCACGCAAGGTTGCAATGGAACTCTCCCAGAGTTGAACTTGGTAAGGATGTCAGTTTGGCCTGCCATCTTACTTACAAGATATAGATTGCTTGCTTTTAGAACAAAACCAATCATGCCTTCAACAATTAACTTTGCAATTTCATAATCCTTCTGTATATGAACCAAACATCAATTGTTATACCTTTACACCGTTGAGGAATGTAAATGGTTTTTTTTTCTTAAACAAAAATATGATATGTTTAAAATTTAAAATATTATAAAGTATCGAATCCTGATATGAAACAGGAATTGGAAGTAATAGAAAGGCAACAGCAGACCGAAGAGGAGATTGCAGAAGAAGAAGAAGAAGAAGACAAAGGAATTAGAATGGAGAAGGCAGCCAAGTTGGTTTAAAGATTACGGGTGAAGCTGAACTGGATTAAGTGTCCAAGTGTGGAATAATAGAATTAATGAGGTTAAGCATCGTTACTAATGAAGCTTAATCAGGATTAGTGGCTACTTGCTCATGTAAAGAGAGCATAAAAGGAATAAAACATTCATTTGTAAGGGTAATCAAATTTCTTCTCAATTCTCTCATTCTCAAGAGTCCCCTTGCACTTCAACAAATCCCTTTAACACGAGCTATTATATTCATGACATGTATAAATTTTTTTTTTTTTTTAATCTAATTAGTTGTATTTATAATGAACATTTATATGGCATATGCATGTATTGATTTGTACTATAACTCATACAATACTTTCATTGTATCAAAAATGTTGTTATAAATCTATATAAAAAATAGAAACATGTTATACAATTTATATACTATTTTAAAATATTCTGACCATCCATCATTATCATTATTTAGTCGTACATTTAGTCAATAAATATTTTGTTATGAAAGGGAGCGGTGCATGCATCCAAGAAATTGCTATGAATTAATAAGACAATTTGCCAATTAAAAGTAATTGAACTTCTTTTTTAAGTTACTACAAGTTTGAAAGCAAAGTCTTTGCTTCAATACTTTGACGTAAATTATTCAAAATTTACAGCTCATTCAAAACACTTTTATAATTATTCTACCAAAGAATGAACTAAGCTTTAGCTGCCATTCCCAAAATTATTAATTGTTTCAACAATTCATTTCTGAGGGTTGAAGCCGCGTTTGCATTTACTTGTTCTAATTAATGAAGGGTTTATTTTATACACGCCTTTGTAAGACTGTTTAATTGAGTATATTTTCATGTTTTTTTGAAAAATTATTAAAAAGTTCATTTTAATTATTAGAGAGATGAAATGTTTTAATTTAAATTAAAACACAAAATTTCAACCGTTGATCAGTTATAATTCAAAGGTTTAAAAGTTGATCAAGTGGCAATAAACTTCTCAACTTTCATTTATATTAAATTGCAATCTATCAACAACTCTGAATTTGTGTTTTTTTTTTTTTTTTTTTTTTTTTAACCAAGGGTGTCTGGGCGAGTTTATATACATCCGACTAGTCTCTCAACCTCGAATAAAGCTTCCGAACAAGGTAAATCTTGTGGTCCGTGACCGACAATATTAAAAACAGTCTTGTGATTCGAACCTAAGACCACAGGGAAAGCAAACCCCTTGACGCCAAGCTTTTATCACTCAGTCAATCCATTGTTGGTTGGCTCTGAATTTGTGTTTCTCATCATTTTAAGTTAAAAAAATCTATTCCATTATTCAATGCCTTATTCGGGAGAGATTTTCAATAATTATAAAGGGATTTTTAATAATTAATGAAAACTTTGAGTACGCCGTAGAACAGTAGAAGGAGTAAATAAAATGAACCCATTTATAAATAAGAAAAGCAGGGGAAATTTTGTTAAAACTAGACTACATTATTTAATAATTTATTGTTTATATTTAGAACTTTGAAAAGTGGAGAAAACATGTTGAGTATTGGAAACGTTTTTTGAAAATACAAAAATTTTAGTTGTAAAAATTTAACAAAGAGAAAAGAATGAAAAACGCCATTGTATTTGTATATTTTCAATTTAAAAATAAAACATTTTTAAAATTAAAGCATATGAGAATTAATGGTGGGGAGATCAGATCACATGTTTGTCTGAAGTTATTTATTTGATTATCTAATAATACTTTTGACAATTGACACCACTTAATCGGTGATCACATGCACGTATCTTAATAAAAAATTAAAATTGGAAATTAACGTCCTAGCATGTGCCCTAGATACAGACAATATCATATCTTTCAAACTTAGTTACAGTCAGTAATGGATGAATTAAATTAGTGCATTATTCTTTTTTTTCTTATTATTATCTAGAAATTTAGTACTTGTGATTTGAAGTTGAAGTTTCCGTTAAATCCTTGAGAAACGACAAACAATCGTCTTTGACTAGGCCAGTGCCCATAAAGGAGCTCCGATACTAGATTAACTGGGTACCATTGAGAGTCTTTTTCTTAATTTTATTTTTTATTCATAAAAGATGAACATTGGCGGTGTTCCAATAAGGCATGTGATTGTGACATGGTGGAGTGAAGAGTGAAATTCTGTGAAGTCAGCAGACAAAACACGCAGAAAATCCGGCTGGTTTAAGGCAAGAAAGAATATTAAAGTCAAAACAAGAACAATCATAGTAGTTGATTTCCACTACTAAAACTTATGATTAAAAAATAATTATGAGTAATAAAAAAAAAACAAAAGAGACAATGAATAAGTGATGAGCCCACGTAGTACTAGTTCCTGTCCACAAGAAATGAAATGCAGCTGGCAACCACCATTGTTTTATAGACAAGTATAGATTTATAACAGACAGAGACATTCGTGGGTGAAGATGAGCTGTTCTCTTCAATCTATTATCGTCATCCACTACCAATGACCAAAATATTACATTCCGCAATTGGGGCCTTTCGCAAGCCAATCAAGCTCCAACAATTGCCTCTGACAGCACTTAATGGATATGACGACTTTGAGTATAAAAAAATTATGAATTCAGATGTCGACCTGTGACTAAAAACCATAATTTTCAATATATCGGTATACTAAATATTCTACTCTTTTTATACAAATCCAAACCATTCAGATAAAGCTTGAAGAATCATAGAAGGTTGAACTACTCGTAAATAAAGCACTAAGAAGATGAACATTAGAGAGCAACTCTTGCTTGACTGTAGGTCTATTTATATTTTAACAAATTCTCAACACCGGGAAAACATAAAACTACCATTTAAGCTACAGAGAAAAAGCGGAGAAGAAAACATCTCCAGAAAAATATTGGAATATAGAACCAACCTCACAAAAAGAAGAAAACAAGAGGTCAATGGAATGAACAAAGCAGACTTCTCAAAGCATCGAGAGATACCATATTTTGTTGTCCTCTTCCTTCATCGTCCATCAGCTGAAGTAAATGATTCTGCAAATCCGGATGGTCTAGTAGGTATGCTAGTCTGGGTATTGTCCGCACTGGCAAGGAATGATGAAGAAGAGTCACCCATGTTGCCACTTCCCTCGTATGCCTGCCACTTCTTTAGTGCTTGTGGCAAGGTCATGTCAAGATCAATTCCATATATGTCATCGGAATCAGGTTCTGCTGGTTTCCACAACTCAGCTAGAGATGAAATCACATTTACAACATGACCCATATCAGGCCTCTGGTAGGGCTCCCTTGCACAGCAGTGGCCAGCCAACTCAGCCACAGTGCTTACACTGGCAAGGGTTTCCTCGTCCAGTTCAATTGTTTGGTCAATGGCCTTTCGGAATGTGTCCTTGTTAATATGCATTCTACGGAACCATGTGACAAGATGCACACTATCCTCAGGCTGGGTTTCATCGAGGGCTTTTCTACCCGAAATTAACTCCATTAAAATTACTCCAAAGCTAAACACGTCAACCTTGGTAGTCACACGTCCAGTCACTGCCAAGTCATAAGTACACTTTCAGCATTCATATCACAAAATTCATTGAGAAGAAACCAATGCAACAATAACATCTATAAAGAGGCTAAGACTAACAAAAACAACAATAATATCCACAGATTTATCCATTATTTAAAGAAAAGGTAAAGAAAATTATAGCAGCATATGCTGTTCCCCAAAAAAAAAAAAAAACAAAAAAAAAAAGAGGTTTCAGGAAAAGATTGCCACTCTGTTACCAATATAATTAACACCCTCCACCCATAAAATAAAAAAATAAATTGAAATAATGGTGCAGATAATTATTCATAACCTTTGAAATTCTTTAACAAGTTAGATATGAAATCAGCATAAAACAGTAGAAGACAAATTACCAACTCAAACATGGCCAATAAAACTAATCTATCTTTTTTATTTGTGCACGCAATTTTGATAACCATGCATCAAAACCAAAAATGAGGTCCTCAAAAGAAGGATCAAGAGTTATGTAGGTGCACAGTCGAATAGACAAACTACTTTTAATTAAAGGAATATAGCAAAGAACCATCATAATCTGAACTACTGGAAACTAAAACTTAACTACAGACTCGTGCAATGATGAAAAGGCAAAGACTAAATCATGATCCATAAAAGATTAACAGTTAAAAGAACAGGAAAGGTGCTCTGATGAAACAGATTATATGCCTAGTTGGTGTGCAAGTAGCATCATAGTGACAAACGATTTATCCTTGAAACTAATATGACACCCTTTCTTGTAATTTTCTATCTTTATTCTGCAGTTCGTTTTCATACATTAAGTCAGGAAATAACTGTCGCTTTAGAAAAAGACCCACTCAATTGTACATAATCCATCAACTTTCAAATATTGAAAATAATAAAACAGACTCACTTCTACTATCTTTTGCCCCAGAAAAAAGCCTACAGAAAAGAAAATATTTAAAGAATAAAGAGGGAAATGGGCAAGATTAATTCAATTCCATTATTTTTAGATGTATCATCCCTGTTACCCAATGTTCTCAAAATTATTCAGTGATACATGCTCCAGTTTGATGTATAGACAGTAGCTAGTAATGCAAAATGTTAAGATGTCAAGTAACCTTTGTTTACCGTAACAAACAAAAACTAAACATTCATTTGCATGCATGTATAAAAATAAGAATAAAATTGGGCATGTCATCTCAACACTAACATTTAATCTTATTAGTTACCTGCATACTCTGGAGCAAGATACCCAAAAGTTCCAGCAAGTCTTGTCTCGATTGAATGTTTTCCGTTCTCTGGAGCAAGACGAACCAATCCAAAGTCTGCAACTTTAGCCCGCATATCATCTCCAAGAAGAATGTTGGAAGGTTTCAGATCTCTGTGAATAAAACTTTGATGTGCTAAACCATGAAGATACTCAACACCTCTAGCAACATCCAAGGCAATGGTCAACCTTCTAGTCCACTCAAGCGGTTTCAATCCCTCCTCCTTCCAGTTGAAAAGATGCCTACTAAGGGTCCCCTGTGGCATATACTCATAAACAAGAAGCCTCTCATTTCCATAATAAAAACAAAAGAGACAATGAATGAGTGATGAGCCCACGTAGTACTAGTTCCTGTCCACAAGAAATGAAATGCAGCTGGCAACCACCATTGTTTTATAGACAAGTATAGACAGAGACATTCGTGGGTGAAGATGAGCTGTTCTCTTCAATCTATTATCGTCATCCACTACCAATGACCAAAATATTACATTCCGCAATTGGGGCCTTTCGCAAGCCAATCAAGCTCCAACAATTGCCTCTGACAGCACTTAATGGATATGACGACTTTGAGTATAAAAAAATTATGAATTCAGATGTCGACCTGTGACTAAAAACCATAATTTTCAATATATCGGTATACTAAATATTCTACTCTTTTTATACAAATCCAAACCATTCAGATAAAGCTTGAAGAATCATAGAAGGTTGAACTACTCGTAAATAAAGCACTAAGAAGATGAACATTAGAGAGCAACTCTTGCTTGACTGTAGGTCTATTTATATTTTAACAAATTCTCAACACCGGGAAAACATAAAACTACCATTTAAGCTACAGAGAAAAAGCGGAGAAGAAAACATCTCCAGAAAAATATTGGAATATAGAACCAACCTCACAAAAAGAAGAAAACAAGAGGTCAATGGAATGAACAAAGCAGACTTCTCAAAGCATCGAGAGATACCATATTTTGTTGTCCTCTTCCTTCATCGTCCATCAGCTGAAGTAAATGATTCTGCAAATCCGGATGGTCTAGTAGGTATGCTAGTCTGGGTATTGTCCGCACTGGCAAGGAATGATGAAGAAGAGTCACCCATGTTGCCACTTCCCTCGTATGCCTGCCACTTCTTTAGTGCTTGTGGCAAGGTCATGTCAAGATCAATTCCATATATGTCATCGGAATCAGGTTCTGCTGGTTTCCACAACTCAGCTAGAGATGAAATCACATTTACAACATGACCCATATCAGGCCTCTGGTAGGGCTCCCTTGCACAGCAGTGGCCAGCCAACTCAGCCACAGTGCTTACACTGGCAAGGGTTTCCTCGTCCAGTTCAATTGTTTGGTCAATGGCCTTTCGGAATGTGTCCTTGTTAATATGCATTCTACGGAACCATGTGACAAGATGCACACTATCCTCAGGCTGGGTTTCATCGAGGGCTTTTCTACCCGAAATTAACTCCATTAAAATTACTCCAAAGCTAAACACGTCAACCTTGGTAGTCACACGTCCAGTCACTGCCAAGTCATAAGTACACTTTCAGCATTCATATCACAAAATTCATTGAGAAGAAACCAATGCAACAATAACATCTATAAAGAGGCTAAGACTAACAAAAACAACAATAATATCCACAGATTTATCCATTATTTAAAGAAAAGGTAAAGAAAATTATAGCAGCATATGCTGTTCCCCAAAAAAAAAAAAAAACAAAAAAAAAAAGAGGTTTCAGGAAAAGATTGCCACTCTGTTACCAATATAATTAACACCCTCCACCCATAAAATAAAAAAATAAATTGAAATAATGGTGCAGATAATTATTCATAACCTTTGAAATTCTTTAACAAGTTAGATATGAAATCAGCATAAAACAGTAGAAGACAAATTACCAACTCAAACATGGCCAATAAAACTAATCTATCTTTTTTATTTGTGCACGCAATTTTGATAACCATGCATCAAAACCAAAAATGAGGTCCTCAAAAGAAGGATCAAGAGTTATGTAGGTGCACAGTCGAATAGACAAACTACTTTTAATTAAAGGAATATAGCAAAGAACCATCATAATCTGAACTACTGGAAACTAAAACTTAACTACAGACTCGTGCAATGATGAAAAGGCAAAGACTAAATCATGATCCATAAAAGATTAACAGTTAAAAGAACAGGAAAGGTGCTCTGATGAAACAGATTATATGCCTAGTTGGTGTGCAAGTAGCATCATAGTGACAAACGATTTATCCTTGAAACTAATATGACACCCTTTCTTGTAATTTTCTATCTTTATTCTGCAGTTCGTTTTCATACATTAAGTCAGGAAATAACTGTCGCTTTAGAAAAAGACCCACTCAATTGTACATAATCCATCAACTTTCAAATATTGAAAATAATAAAACAGACTCACTTCTACTATCTTTTGCCCCAGAAAAAAGCCTACAGAAAAGAAAATATTTAAAGAATAAAGAGGGAAATGGGCAAGATTAATTCAATTCCATTATTTTTAGATGTATCATCCCTGTTACCCAATGTTCTCAAAATTATTCAGTGATACATGCTCCAGTTTGATGTATAGACAGTAGCTAGTAATGCAAAATGTTAAGATGTCAAGTAACCTTTGTTTACCGTAACAAACAAAAACTAAACATTCATTTGCATGCATGTATAAAAATAAGAATAAAATTGGGCATGTCATCTCAACACTAACATTTAATCTTATTAGTTACCTGCATACTCTGGAGCAAGATACCCAAAAGTTCCAGCAAGTCTTGTCTCGATTGAATGTTTTCCGTTCTCTGGAGCAAGACGAACCAATCCAAAGTCTGCAACTTTAGCCCGCATATCATCTCCAAGAAGAATGTTGGACGGTTTCAGATCTCTGTGAATAAAACTTTGATGTGCTAAACCATGAAGATACTCAACACCTCTAGCAACATCCAAGGCAATGGTCAACCTTCTAGTCCACTCAAGCGGTTTCAATCCCTCCTCCTTCCAGTTGAAAAGATGCCTACTAAGGGTCCCCTGTGGCATATACTCATAAACAAGAAGCCTCTCATTTCCATCTAAGCAATAGCCAAGAAGTGCTACCAAATGGCGGTGTCGAACTTTGGTAAGAACTGCAATCTCGGACTTAAACTCTGCCAAACCCTTCTCACTCACAATTCCAGCCTCCATCCTCTTCACTGCTATCTTTGTCCCATCATGTAATTCCCCTTTATACACAGTCCCAAAACCACCTCTTCCCAATATATTTTCCTCACTGAAGTTGTTAGTTACATTCCTCAAAACTTGGATTGAGATAACCATATTTCCAGCCTCAACCACATGAATGTCACTAGGCCCACTACTCGTGAGACTATGGCTGTCACTCCCACCTCCATTAACACTAGAATTTGTTACTGTAATCTTAACTCCATTTCCATCCCCTGCATTCTGAGGATGTATCACCACAGTATTCGGACTCTGTACTCTACTGGAACGCTTTCGTTTCCTGGTATACAAACAGACACCTAATCCAACAATAAACGCACCACAAACAGCACCAATCACAGAACCAACAATTTTTCCAGTATTCTTACTCCCACTACCTGAGGAACTGGTTTCTCCGCTATGAGTACCAGGAGTTCCAGATGAACCCCCTGGTGGTGTTCCCGGCGTGAAACTACTGTTATCTTTTCCAATATCAGGGTTCCCATGAATGTTAACAATCACGTTCTGTCTAAACTTCGGCACTTTACCAAAAATATGATTATTTGACACATCTAATTTCTCAAGTTTAGACAAAGTTGTAAGCTCATTAGGTATAGTACCAGTAAGTGAATTACCAGATAGTAACAAATGTCTCAACGATGTAAGCTGAGAGAAATTCGAAGAAATAGTGCCGGTAAGCCCCAAATTTTGGAAATTAACAACCGTGATGCTTCCACCACTATCACACGAAATCCCCTTCCATATCTGAGAGGCATCACAAGGATTATTTCCTTTCCAACTCTGTGCAAACACCACAGGATAACCCACAGATTCGGCAATTGATAACAAAATATTAACCTGACTAGCACAAGGAAAACCAGGATCGTCTAAACAAAAGCTATTAGACCCAGTTCTCATATCCACCCTAATTTTAGAAGTATCAAACTTTGGAGTCGGACCCTGAAGCAAATTATTAGTCAAATTGACCGTAGAAAGTCCAGGAAGATTAACCAAAGATGAAGGAACAATACCCGTCAACTGATTATCTCTCAAGCTGAAGTCCTTCAAGCCAGTAAGCCCTGATAAATCTGGCAAAGGACCCGTAAATTGGTTCGAATAAAGGAAAACCTGAGTCAAAGAAGTCATGCTTTGTAGCAGAGAAACTGATCCATTTAGCTTAGTGTCACTGATTTGGCTATTCAACAAAAGTGTCTCAATTGCTGACCCAGCAAAACTCTCCGGAAGTTGCCCATGGAGATTGTTCATAGCCAAATTCAAACTCTTTAATCCTCGAAATACATCTCCCCCCAGAAACCCAGGAATAGTTCCTGTAACATTAGCCCCGTTTGCAGAAAATTTCTGCAAAGTCGTTGCATTTGTTAAACTCACAGGAATCTCCCAAACCTCAAAGGAATTATAATCAAGGCTTATAGTTTGCAAAGAAGTTAACCCAGAAAAGAAATCAGGGGGGAAATATGTAAAATTGTTGTCATTAAAAAGCACTTCCTGCAGAGAACTCAACCCAGCAAGACTTGGGATAGGCCCACTCAGTTCATTCTTCATCACCTCAAGAACAGTCAGTGACGTTAAGTTCCTGAGGTCCGGTGGGAGAGTTCCTTTCAGGCTCTGTGAACCGATTTGGATCTTGGTGACCCGATTGTCCGAACAGTCAACGTGTTCCCACTTACACGGGTTAGGGTCGGTCCAGCCCAAGTTTGGCGGATTGCCTATGCTGGTTTTAAGAGCTTGCATGGCTGCAGCATCTGGACTAGACTGAGAGTAAACTGAGGAAGTTAAAGAGAAAAGAGAAAGGAGGAAAAGGGAAAATGAAGAAAAAGAAAACCCCAGACTGGGTTTGTTCATTTTCTTGGGAAAACAAGGGAGAAAGTGAAGGAAAACAAAAAAGGGGCAAACTTTACAAGTAAAAAGAGCTTATGTAGGCATTGCAGGTGAGGTGTTTGTTGGATTGGTTGAATGAATTTTGATTGTTTGTTTGAAGTTTCAAAGTTATGTTATTTGTGTTGGCGTTGATGGTGTGTTTGTAAAGGGAAGATTTGAGGGGAAGCGGCGGAGATAGAGGAGAATAATGGTGTAAAGTGTAATAATATTGGAAAGATGGAGGGAGAGAGAGAGAGAGAGAGAAAGGTGGGGTTAAATTAATAGGCTAGAGGAAGAGAGTAAAGGGGTTAGGCGTGGAATATTATGTTTTGGAGAAATTGAAATTGAAATTCGGCAGTTGGCACATGGAAGTGGGGTCCTTTTTTCTTTTACAAAATTATGTATGTATTATTTTATCAACATCATGGACCGGAGATGGTCAAGTATGGTTCATGGACTAGCACCACTCTCATACATCTCTACAATTTCTATAATCAATAATCTCATTCATCCCCTCCGCATGACATTATCACAGCTAAGTGTTTTCTACACATTACAATAATGGAGATAAGGTATGTAAGTTCTGAATACCAAACATGTTTCTTTTTTACTGGGTTTCTTTATCAATTTAGAGGAAGTGACAATAACCATGCATATTAAATTTTGTTCAAATTTGGAAATGCTACTTGTCTTATTTTTGTCATTTTATACCTTTAATGCGTAAACGTAAACTTCGGGTGCATTTGTTTTAGTATTTTAGATAATATTTTTGAAAAAGTAAGAGTTGGGTGATAATAACGAGGTAGGATTTAAAAATTAACAAAAACACTTCTTAGGTTTGTTAATTTCTAAACACTTCTGTAATAAAAATATTAAAAATTATAAAAACACCCCCACTCACCCATTAAATACTGGCAGTCGGCCACCACTGCCGAAGGGTGGTCGGAGTCGCCGTATCGACGCAAAATCGGTTGGATCTGGCCGGTCGTGTGTCGAGATGGCCTTTTTCAGTCACATCCACCATGGATCTGGCCGAAAAAAGCTAGAAATACGGCTAGATCTAGCCATTGATAACCAGATCTGGCCGCGTTTGGCCGACGGTCAAAGATATAACTGTCATTGACAACTAGCTACGACCAAAGATCTGGTCTTTTCTAGCCAGATCCACGGTGGATCTGGCTGGAAAATGCTATATCGATGCATTACCGGCCAAATCTAGCCAAAAGTGTACCATTATACCAGATTCCAGCCACCTTCCAGTGGTGGTTGTCGGAATTTGGGAAATGTGGGTGGATAGGGGTGTTTTTGTCAATTTCTAAACTTTTTTGGGGGGTGTTTAGTTAAATTAACAAACTTAAGAAGTTTAAAATAATTAAATAAAATACAATAGTATTTTCAAAGTAAGGAACAAATGTGTATTTTGGAAATGATAGGAATAGGATAAGACAAAAATAGGGAAACAATAGCACTTTGTGTAGATTTGGGAAATTATTTATTGGTGGATTATTAATGATCTGGTTACCCTTTTTACCAACCCAATTGGATTGAAAATTAAATTAAATTTTTGAATAAGATTAATTTTCTATTTTAGGAGATGTTTTTTTGTGTGAGTAATATATCTCAACAAATTTTATGAGATTAAAAGAAGATGTAACTTTCTGATATGAACTAATATGTATAGGATAAGAAGATATATAAATTTATAATAGAAGTATTATATTATTTAAAGAATTCAAATAATTTTTTTTGTATATATATAAAATTAATTGTCCTAAATTAAAACACACGTTAAGAGAAAATAAAATCAAATAAATTATTTGAATATTGAGGTAGATGGCATAATTTTCTTGATTGACCAATAAATTGGGGTCAAGTGGTCAACTAGTCAATCTAATTCGTGCCAGCCACTTAACGCTACTTTTATTTTTGACTCTTTGTTACCTTGTTACTCATTTCTTAAAAAAAAAAAGAGAAGAGAAGGAAAAAAAGCTGTACTTTGTTTTCCACATGTTATAATGATTATAATTTTCTAAAATATAATTGTTTTTAGACAGTATTTCCAGAAGAGTAATTTATAAATTAGAATTTTACTTTGTATACTAGGGGTGGGAGAAATAGTCTAAAAATCGAACCAAACCGAAAATCAGTTAGAAACTGAATCGAAAATTAGGTTTTTTTATAAACCAATTCGGTATGCAAAATTTTAAAAATCAGAAAATCAGTTCAGTTTTCAGTTTGGGATATTTCTCAAACTGGTTAACCGGAATCGGTTTTTAAAACTGGTTTTACCCTATGTATATAAGCAAAATGTGTTTTGATTTTTTAGCCTTTATGTTTTGTAATATCTCATCTCTTTACTCTTTACTCTTTACTCTTATTCTCCATTTCTCTTCTCTGCCTCCAGTATCCACACTCCAGACTAGACTCCATCTTCGCACTTCGCCATCAACGCCACCCGTAGTCCCACACCCATCAGGCCATCACCAAACTCAAACTCCAAACCTGGTGGACCATATTTTGCATTGATATTATTCGGTAGACCATATTTTGCATTGAATTTCTATTTTTTGGAGAATTGCTAACTATAAGTTTATTTATTGTACATGTAGATATAGATGTAGACCTAGAGATCTGAATTTTTAAGAAGACTCCTTTTATTTGCAAATGTTTTTAAGTTTTTAATTATGCCAATGTTTTTATTAATGAGTACTGAGTAATGTGTAATTGAATACTTTATGTTTTTATTTCATATTCTGGATTCAGCATCTGCAAATAGGTAATTTAATGTGTTTTTCACACAAAGAATACAACAATAATACCCAAATAAAAGAAAAAAAAGCATGAAATTATATATGAAATAATAAATATTTGAATTTAGGGACTTAAATGTAAAAATTGAAGAATTTTAGGGTGAATTTGAAAATCGGTTTGAAAACCGGTTAACCGATAACCGAACCGATAACCGGTTTACAATCGATTTATAGAATAAACTGGTCTGGTTTCGATTTGCATTTTGTCTAAATCGACTAACCAGTTTGGTTTCCGGTTTGCCCTATCCGATTCGATTAACTGGATTATCCCACCCCTATTGTATACTTTCCTTATAAAAAAGAAAAAAAAAATATTTTCATTTTTCTTCTGTGTGGGATCATTTAAAATAAAATGTGTCTACTCCATTTGTAAAGTATTAAAATAAAATGTTAGGAGGTGTTAGAGGGACTGTTTAATACGGATTTTTTTTTTTCCTGAGTAAATAGCTTTTTTCCACCCAAATAATGATTTAATAACACTTTTCCACTTGCAGACTTTTAAATATCATTTTACTACCCAAATTTATATTTTATTTCTGATTTCGGCATTATTGCGACCCTACATCACCACCATTAACTTCTCCAATCATCACTTATCAAAACCTCACCAATCATTGGCAATTGAGCTATTAGGGTTTGCGCAATCACCCTTCTCAAGTCAAATTCTGATTAATTACAACCAACAAAATCTAATCTTCCATGACCAAAAAACTCATCGGCCTCCCCTCTTCAAAAGTTTCAACAGTCTGGCCCAAGTTTGATCTTTGCCGTCTAAATATAAATTTGGGTAATATGTAAAATAATATTTTAAAAGTTTGTAGGTAAAAAAGTGTCATTAAGTCATTATTTGAGTGGAAAAAAGTCGTTTACTCTTTTTTTTTTTAAATATTATAGAGGGTTAACGATAATATGAGAAGGTTTTAATATTTTTTGAACAACTGAAATGAGTTTAATTCTAAACAGTTTCATGGAAAAATAAACCCACAAAAAGAAATTGAAAATTGAAAAAAGAATTTTTATTATCTATAATTTTAATAAAATAAGTGTATAAAAATATTTTCATATTTGCGAATATTTCCACCTTGATCATTTTTATTTTGTGATTCATATGTTTCATGCTTGCCTTTTACTTATTATCATGTGCTTGTATGATTTATATATTAATCTAGTTGGGATAAATTCTATTAATTTGTTGTCGGATTTAAATAAAATATAAATAAATATATAATAATTAAGGAAAAAAAAAAAGAAAGTTGAGTGTCCCAACATTGTTGACATATATACCCCTGTGAATCAATTTGTCTAGGGACATTCTTCTCTTCCTTAGAGTTGATTAATTAATTAATCTATTTTAATGATGTACTTATTTCCAGATATGCCCTTCTGATTTCTTCTGATTTGTCCAGCAGCATAGTTGTCAACCTACCCAACAGTTCTTGACATTAGCATTAACAATTCCTGACATTTCTTAAATGCCTAATTAATTACCTCCTATTTCTTAATTATTTTTTAATTAAGGTCAACTTTAATTCTAATATTTGTAGTCGTGTCACTGTATTTGAAGTACCCCTACGCCATCGTATTAAGATAGAGGCAATATTATATTTTATGTGAAATATTAAGTGACGTTCATTTACGTCAATTACAATTTTGTTTTAAAAATAAAAATAAAAAGGTTTATTTTATATTTTTAAAATTAAAAAATGCGTACAAGATATTTTCAAAAGGAGCATTTGAAAATGAAAACAGTAAAAAAAAAAAGACTTTATAATCCAAGTTGCGCCCCAAAATACGCTAAAATCAAAAGCTTAGAGGGTTAAAGCGAGCAAATTTGAGAGGAAACGTCTTGTTCATAGGCATAGCAATATGCCAATAACTAGTTGTCAAGGAATAGATTCCAAAGTTCTTGGAATTAAGTGGGGATGTGAGAAAACATCCAAATATTTCTAAATGCAACCAGCTGGAAAATTCTAGAATATTACCACCATCATTTTAGTCCAATTTAATATTATTAATTTAAATAATTCTAAAGTAACTTA